ACAAGAGCAAGAATATTGGCAAGCTCAAACAGAAGCTGGAAAAGATTAATGGCAAAATTGAATCCTTCATGGAGAAAAAGGCAGATATTATGAGGCAGATCCAAGAAGCTGAGCACGAAAGTCATGAAAATGCTGAGAAAGAGACGGCTACAGCAGCTGCTGCAGCTAATTAACATGATAACAGGCAGTCAATATATCGCGTAGTTAACCTTCCCCGGTTGTAATACATCACAATATCACAGATCTATAGTTTTATGTAAATTAAGTACTTTACTACTTATGAATAAAATTCCTTGCATTCTCTTGTGCTGTCACCATCGCTTTCCCAGGAACGAAAATGTATTTTAGCAGTAGGAAAGTTAGGGTTACATTTTGAGAGTGTGATGAAAATTGCAGTTATCGCAAGCAATGAGTTTATGAAGCCTTTCCTTCTTCTTTAGGTTTTGTTCATCAAGATTCCAATTCTGAATCAGGAAATGATTCCTGAAAACAAACCAGTTCTATGGCCTGGAATCCAGGAATGTTGGTCACCGAGCCGACACCATATCAAGAGTATCTGAATTTTTATACAAAACTGATTAAAATGTTAATTTTCAAATCTGTTTTTTCTTGGGTGATAAATATTTGTTTGATCAGACTAAAATAAATTTATTTCATGGTTTTTTAAATTGATTTTGTTCTAATGAAATTCATATTTTTTTTCTTGTAATTCAAAGTAAGTACTTTTGTCATAATCATCTCTCACATGTAGTTTTCTGCAATAATTGACATGATTTGTGAAGCAGGGTTCCTAGTTAGGTTTAATAGGTTGAGTGGTGAGTCCGTGTCCAATTGGGAATAGAGGGTCATAATGACGATCACCAAGATTCATAGGGAGCTGGTTGACAGTCTTGAACCAAGTGTTTGGAAGCTTTCCGGTAAAACCATAATCACCAAACAAAGCATCTGCAACACCTTGACCCTCAGTTCCTGGAAGCCAAGCAGCAATAAGAGCATCCATCGTGGATACATATGGCTTGATCACAACAGGGCGGCCAGAAATAATAATGACAACACATTTCACAGCTCCACAGACATTTTTGATGGTCGTTGGACCAGGTTCTGGTATTGTCAAGTTCTCACTGTTACCCTCTATTGGTCCATACGGGTGCTCGCCTACTACAACAATGGCATAAGAGAAGTTCTTTGACTTAACAAAATCAACATCTGGGTTCTCATTGTACACAACCTTTGTTGCTGGATCAACCGTGTTCTTAATGGCAGTAAGGATTGTAGTACCTGTTCAGCAGATGTAAAGGTATTATAGCATTATTATTACTATTGTACTGCAGTTTTCCTTGAGAAGTTATAAAAGATTTCCATTTGAAGTCTGAAGATTTAGAATCCTATTATACATATAGCATTAGAGTAAAGGTAATGTTAGTCTATTTAATTACCAGTTGTGAGGTTGTTGCCACTAAACCCTCTTATCTCAATTGTCCAAGCACCACACTGATAACCCAGATTGTGTGCGTGACTGCCAGCTACTAGTATTTTCAATGCTTTCTTAGGAAGGGGAATCATTGGTTCATGGTCAGCAGATTTTCCATTCTTAAACAGCACAAGTGATTTCCTCACGGCTTCCCTAGCCAATTCTCTATGTTCCTGTTATATTTTCAGGAAAAATTGCGATGAGCTCTTTTTTGTTCTTTTTCAATGGTCTTCCTTTTCTGGGGTTATATTGACTAACCTGACTTCCAATCTCCTTAGCAAGGCTTGTATTGGCTAGAGGATTCTCGAAGAGTCCCATCACAAACTTGACTCGCAAGATTCTCTTTACTGCATCATTAATTCGGCTAATGGGGATATTGTAATTCTTCACATGGAAGATTAAACCATCAATGAATTCTGGGTAGTTGAATGGAACCATGACCTGCAAATTGCAGAAGCAAGCATTTGAAGATGTATAAGCTTAATGTGACAAATTAACGAATGACATGTTAAGGACTAACCATATCAATACCAGCTTGTATTGCTGCTTGGATGGAATATGAATAGTTAGAGTGAGGTGGAGACATAATCTTGTCGATACCTTGCCAATCTGAGATGACAAAACCCTGAGACAACAACAAAAGTTTACATATTGCTCTTACATTAATACGGAGAAACGTGATTAGTTATAAAGCATCGGGCTGTACCCGGAAGCGGAGGGTGTTCTTGAGAAAATTGGTAATAAGATCGTGGTTAGCATGCATCTTAACACCATTCCAGCTGGAGAAAGAGACCATGACAGTTGATACTCCTTTGATGATCGAGTGATAGTAGCCTGGCATGTGGATAGTGAGTAAACCATGTCTGTCTATTACAGTATTGTTCTCGTTGATCCCTTTATTTGTTCCACCATCACCTACATAGTGCTTGGCACAAGCTGCTACCTTTTTCCTTTTTGCCAGAAGTAAAAGATTGTAAAAGGCAAGAATATATAAAACATATATATACATACCCATATATGCCGAGTGTTTCTCTTGCTTTAGTTTTATCTAGAAAGAAAAAAATTTTGTAGAAGGCAGAATTTCTTACTGTCCATCAACAAATGGAACACCCTTTTGGGAGCTAGAAGGGATATCGCCTTGTAATCCCGATATGATCTCTGTCATGTCTTGCACGATTTTGGGATCTTCACCATAGCTTTCGTAACACCTAATCCATCTTGGATCTCTACAAACCTAGGGAGATAGGCATTTAAAGGAATCAGGATTATACAAGAATTTCCTTGCTGTAGTTCCCCAGTAAAAACTTGAAATTTGATCAGATACCGCAACACATGGTGCAAACACATATGGAATGCCTGTGGCTCTAACTTCAGCTGCAGTTACAGCTCCAATCTTCTTAACAAGTGCAGGATCCCTGATTTTCAAAAGAAAAAAATATGTTGATAAGCAATTTTGATCTATTGAAAGCACATAGCCACATCAGAGTTTTGTTTCAGATAAGTACAGACGCATCCTTCAATAACGGATAGCCTTCTAAGCTTGTTGGTGAATTTGAGGCTGCAAAACTCAATACTGATATTTAATTGGAAAAAGGGATTCAAGCTTTCTGGATTATGTATTTATAGCAGGAAAATCATAGGGCAGAAAGTGATATTGAAGGATTACCGGGCAGCTCCAAGACCAATATTGTGAGGAAAGATTGTTGCATTGTAGACATTGTTGTGACCATGAATGGCATCAATGCCATAAATCATTGGAATTCCAAGCCTGGTTGACAAAGCACCCTTTTGAAATTCATTAACCATGTTGATCCAAGTCTCTGCATTGGCCTTTTTAGCAGGAACGCTACCTCCCCCACTCAATACACTCCCTGCAAAAAACCCACAATTCTTCTCTCAGTCTCTTATATATATTTGTCCATATATGTACAGCTAAACAATCAAGCTTCTTCCTTTCAGTCACTCTTTAAAGAAAAGAAAGAAGAAAGAATGGATTTTACCAATGAAATACTCGTTAATGACCTGAGCAGAGGCAACACTGCGCTCGATTTGTACCATTTGGCCTATCTTTTCCTCTAATGTCATCCTGCTGAGTAAGTCGTTTAGTCGAACACCTAATGGCTGCTTTGGGTCTTTATATTTCGTGTACTCTTCTGCCTCTGCCATTGCCATGCAGCAAAACACTAAAAATGCCATGAGGAAGAAGGGAGTTCTCACCATTTTCTGCCTTCAAATTGCTTTCACATAGAAACAATCACACAGTTCAATTATAATCACAGTTTAGGGAAATGGATACAGCAATCTATAATGATCTCTGTATATTTTTGTGAACTAGAATCATTTCCTAAGAAAATATAGGTGAAAAAAGGACATGGATTGTAGAAAAAGCTACTTGTAAAAAGGAATCAATCTTCATATTTCATAGAAAGCTACTAGCTAAATCTCATACGCAGATAATATCCAGATTAGATTCATTATGTATATTATTATTAATTGGGTCCAGCACATGCTTACGTATCGAAGAAACACATATATATACCTACAA